TATAAAAAACATCAACGTACTCAGTCTTCCCTCGGTTTTATGAGCAATGGGTTTATTCCTTGACACCAGTAAAAATTAAGACCCGGGCGCTTGTATGCTGTCGGTGTTTAAGAATCTGTGCCCAGCCTGGGTGCCTGTCCCGGTAGAGCCCAGCTCCGCAGCCGTCGAGGTGCTGAGGCCGGGGTCCAGCACAACCGGCCCGGGGCTGCCCCCTCCACTGAGAAATTGCAGAGTCTGCAGGGAACGGGGACAGCCGGAGCTTTCTTGCCTCTCCTCCTCTTCCTCCTCTCGCTATTCCGAGCCAGGCGGTTCGGGGGTACCGAGCTGAACCTCGGCTCCGGTGTCACAGCCCTGCCGCTATGATCCCACTGCTGCAGCTAAAATCAGAAACGCAAATGCATTTATTGATTAGTTGATATGACGGCTTGCTTGGCTTTGTGTGGGTATTTGTGTGTGTGTGTGTATTCTAGGTTTTGTTTTGTTTTAAATCGGGCTTAAACAATGCCACTGGTTAAACAAAACTTTAAACTCGCTTTGTGTGGAGAAGGGACTGAGCACATAAATCAGAATTTACGCTTTGAAGCTCTCGGCTTCAAAAGCCCAGCACCTCCGGCCGGGGGTGCCACGTTACCCCCTGAACTTTCGGGGAACGGGGCTGCGTCTGAATGTGTTCCCTTTCGCAAGATCCCATCGAAAATCAGGGGTCGGGGTTGTGCATCCGCCGTTCCCGTTACCGGCTCCACAGCCGCTCCTCACCTATGCCGAGGGGTGCCCCGAATCCGTGCTACGTATCACTGCTTCGGCACACGCTTACCGGTAACCGACTGCTTTCGGGGAAACACCTTTCCTCGTGTATTGTGCAAACGCTGAACCTCGAGAATACCCGGGGAGTCTCTATGGGAAGAGCAGAACCGGGGCTGGGGCTGGGAGAGAGGGACGAGCTCCATCGCCCTCCGGCTGTTCTCCCCCGTTTTTCCCGTGCGCTCAAACATGCAACCGAGGTAAACCCAGAGAAAATGCCACGGATCGCTCATTCTGATCCAAAATGGAAACGCTAAAATAGAGGAGCAAATCTGTAGTGCGGAGAACGGTGTCAAATTGGCTCATCTGTCATTGTCTAAATGAGGCTGAGGGCGAAAGTGTTTATTGTTCGTGATAACCTTTGAGCCCGGGATCAGAGGATTTCTTTTAGGAAAACACCTTTAGAAGGGATTCCTCCTCAACCCGATGCCACAGCTCAGTTTATGTAAACTCACGTCCCGAGATAACTAGAAATAGCAAGCTTTGTGCCTATTGATCATGGAAGAAATAATCACCGCGCTTTTCCGCTCCCGCCGGTGTCCCAGAACGGGGCATGGCCGGGGGCAGCGGAGGGGAAGGAGGCGAAGGCCGCTGGGGCCAGGCAAGCGCAGCCCCCGCGTCCCCGGGACCTCCAAGGGCGGCTCCGGTCTCGTCTTGCCAGCACCCGGCGTGTCACATTAGAACGCAGACATGCGAGAGGGAGAGGGGACAAGGAGATGCTGCCAGAAGAGCCCGCAGCCGAGTGTGCATCTTCAGAGTGATCAGCTGGCACCAGGTGAGAACATGTCACGACGGGGAATTACATCACGCAGCCACCCTGCAGGACAAGCTGCCGGGCATGTGTGCGAGGAGCTGGGGACAGGAGCCTGTAAGCAAGATGGGGCTGAAGTGGGGAGAGGCCGGAGCGGCTCCGGGGGGTGGAGGCCTCTCCCCGGCAGCGCCCCCTCCCCCGCGCTCCCAGGCTCTTCTGCCCTTGGGTATTCTCAGCGTTCGTCGAGCCTTATTGCGCCTCAGCATCTTGCTTCTTTCTTGCTCATGTGGTCAGAGTCCCGAGGCGGACACTTCTAGCCCTGCAGTCCCCAAAGCCAGTGCGATAACCACTGACACAACCCAGGCAGGAGCGGTTACAACGCGGCTCATTCGCAGCTTCTGATGTGTCCCCACTTGACGCGATCGTTGTCTATTTACAAAGGCGGTTCAGGAGAACGCCGCAGAAAAGCCCAATCGGATAATGTAACACCATTACCCACCGACGGCGTTTTCTGCCAGCTATTAATATCTTTACGTAGAAAGCTGCACCGTCTTGCAGGCAAAGCCCTCTCCTCTTCCCCTCCGAATTCTCTGGTTTCCGTTTCTCCTTTCAGAAGCACCGGGCGGAGCAGCCGCGCCGGAGGGAGCGGGAACCGGTCCATCCCGGCTACCGGGGCCGCCCTCGGGACAGGACCGGAGAGGATGCTCCAGTGGGGGCTAGGGGACAGCACCGGTCTCTCCGGGACGGCGGGGCAGAACAGGGGAGCCGGACCAGCGCCGATCTGGAGGACGCTGCCCCGGTGGAGGGTCCTGGCCGCAGCCTGCCCGCGGGTAGCGCTGTGCGGGCGCGGAAGGGGCCCGCCGGCGGACCGATCAAGGCCGGTCATCTGCGCGGCCCCCGCCTAGGGCCGGCTGCTTTGCACGGCCCGGAACGCGGCCCTGCCTGGGCCACGCGACCGTACCGGGACTCTAGGTGATCGGGGAGGGGAGAAGCGGAGGGAACGCGGATGCGCGGCGCCGCGGTGGCCAATGAAGCTGGTTTCGGTGGGCCCCGGCACGGTGGAGAGGGAGAAGGGCGGCTCAGACCGGCCACGCTGTCGTCGGCACGGTGAGGGTAACGTTAGTCGTAACCGAGGGACAGCCAAGCCCCAGGAGGAAATGAGTTCTCGTTGTTGGAATTTGGAGATTTTTATTTTCCTGAAAATTGAGTCTTTTTTCGATTTTTCGATTAAATGGATAGAACTGATCCCGCGGCGCGTTTGCTAAGCAGAGTTGCTCTCCTGCGGGCCCCTTCAACGGGACCCGCTCCCCGCCGCCGTAGGAGCAACGGGAGGCTGTTGGCTAGCCTGGCGCTGCCGTCGGGACGGGCAGAGCAGGCTCCCCCCGGGGTTCTCGCCGCCGCTGCACAGCACAGTGCCGGGCTGAGCACTCCGCGGTGCCCCTCGGGGCTGGGCCGCTACCGCCGGTCCTTCCTGCCGGTTAGCGAGGCCCGAGCTTGGACCGCGGTCAGCGCAGGCCCGGTGCTCGCGCCCGGGCCGCCCCACGCACCTGCCAATTCGCGGGAGAAAACGCGAAGGTTCGGGGTCGCTGCGTCCCTTCCCGTCCCTGCGATGCACCGCCCCGTTCACGCCCGTACGGGAGAGGCGGCTCTCTGGAGCGGGTCTCTGCGGGAGCACGCCCGCCGGCCACGGACAGCTCCGGGACCGGCCAAACGGGGCTCCCAGTGCCGGCCCGAGCCCCTGGGGCACCTGCCGGGACCGGCTCGGGGCCGCGGAATCTTGGGGCTTCGGCGGGGGTCCCGGGTGGGGAGCGCCGCCGCCCCCCTCCCGCGATCGGCCGTCGGGGCCAGTGCGGCGTTCCCGCAAGATGAAAGGCAGCGCTCGGAGGCGCGTCCCACGCCGGCAGGTCCAGTCCCCCGTCCTCCCCCCCCCCCAGCGGGTGCACATGTCAGAGTTCACAGACCTGGCTGCTGCCTTTACAACACTGAGCTGTAAAAGAGCGGATATTAAACCCGTATAATGGATCCAGCTCCAAGGAGAGGTTAAATTTCCCAGTGAAACGAAGGTATTTGCCCTGAAATGGGAAAAGCCCCCCCAGCCCCCGGGCTGGGGAACCCGCGGAGCCGTCAGGGCCTGGTGGTAAACCCTGCCCCCAGCCCTGCACCTGGCACCGGCCGCCGCGGGGGCACATGTGCGCACCACGCCACTGCCAGCCGGGCCCGGCCTGCCCCGGCCTCCCCGTCTGGACCCGGCCCGCGCCTGGCGCTCACGGAGCCCCCGGAGAGGGAGGGGGCACGTCGGCACCGGTAGCGCTGCTCTCAGCCCGAGCCGGACCCGGTCTCGATGTCCACGCTGCTTTTCCCGGCGTTCGCCGCCTGCACGGGCCGAGCGCGACCGCAGTTCCGCAGCGCTACCGGGCGAGGGACAGGATTGCGCCGGCCACCCGGTACGCGCCGGAAAGCGGGGCCGGGGGCAAGGGCTGCGCCGGGCGAGATGGGAGCGGGCGACAGGGCACCCGGTGAACGCCGCCAGCGCAGCCCTTCTCCGCGGGCGCGGCTCCTGCGCGTCGAGCCCGGCGCCGGGTGAGCCATGGCCCACGGCGACAGGGAGGACAGCGCAGAGCCGCGCCTGTAGCTGCAGGACGCACCGGGCGGTGGACCGGACCCTATGGGGTCCCGGTGCCGAGGCCAGATCCACAGCTCCCTCGGGCGAGGAGTCCGAGACCTCCCGTTCCCGCAGCCGCACGGTGAGGCGCTCCCGTGGCGGAGCGGGACGCGAAGCCCAAAGCCTGTCTGCCGAGCTGCCCTCAAAAATCCGCTTCAGAAAGATGAAGGCGCATGCAAATGTGTGGCGCCTCCTTGCTTGTGCCTTTAATCATGGTAAATTGACTCTAGTTCCTCCAGGCCCCCCGAAAATGCACCGCACCACAGCAGAGCTGGAACTCCCAGCGCGCCGCGCACCCGCACCCGCCGCCACCCCGGGGCGTCTGGCGCGGCCCCGGCGCCCCGTGAGATCCCGCTCTCTCAGCAATTTTCCTACCCAAAAGCTGCCGTGAAGGGAACAGCGCGCAGAGATAGCATCAGCCTGCCTATATCAAAGAGACCCTGCTTAATTAAAATACCGGCTCCGTGTTCGCCGCCTTCTACGCGGCGCGGCCTCCGACCGCTCAGTGCCGGCTCCGCTCCCCCAGGGATTGTGCGGGGGTTCCTGGCTCCCCGGGCGGGGGTCTACGCGTTTGAAGGGCTGCACCGGCACCGAGTGCGGCCGCCGCTGCCCCCATCCCACCCTCGCCATCCACCGGCCGCTTTTCGGTGGGCACTTTGGCGGCCCGGGTCCGGTCACCGGCTCCGTGAGGCTGCCGGGCGAGAGGGACCCTCGCTTGCCCAAGGCGCAGCCGGTCTGGCGGACAGGCTGATCCCCGAGGGGACTCTGCGTGGTTCACGGCGAGCGTTTGTTTGCGCTACTGAGCAAGAGCCCGATAATTTATTGTTATTGTTATTAGTAACTACACTTTGCAGCTCGCTTACATTTGTCCTTCCGAAGGAGGGAGAGCAGCTGAATCAGTCACAGCCGAGCACAGCCGCCGGCCGCTTTTCCCGGCGGTGACGGCTCTGGGGCCCGGGGCCCGGGGCCGTCGGCGGGGAGCCCCCGGGGGCTCGGTCGAAGACCGCGGGCTGCAGAGCCGTTAGCAGCGCCCGGTATGGGGGAAACTCGGAGGTCTCCATCCCGTGCACCGGCCACGAGCTCAGGCTCTGTTCACCGTGCGGTTGGCCTGGTGTCCCTGCGTTCTCCGAGCGCTGCCCGCTACGGCGGGCTCCCAGGCAGCGGTGTTTCGCAGTAGGCCGTTGGCAGGCGGGGAAGGTGCAGAGTGCAGCTGTGAGTGAAGAAAATAGGACAAAGTGAGCAGGGACATCCCCACCGTTGTTGCCCTGCCGTTCTCACCCCGCAACCCGTCGTCGGGGTGCCGCGGACAGAGTCGGAGACCGGCGGTCTCACAGCAGCGAGCGGGCGGTCCACCTCGTTGTGGGGCTGCCAGCGCTGCCGGCTTGTGGCCGGTGTAGCTACCGGGGTGCACGGCCCCGCGGGCTCTGCTCGCCCCGGTTGACCCCGGCCCTGCTCCCGGCCCAGCCCCGCCGCGCCCGCGGGAGCCCCGGCCGTGCCGCCGCACGCCGGCAGGGGGCAGGCTGCGCCCGAGGCCCCGCCGCACCGGGCAGCCGGGCCGGGGTCAGCCGGGCCGGACCAGGCCGGGCCATCCATTGCCCCCCCCCCCGACTGGGTGCATCCGCGGATCAGGCAGCGCACCCACGGGCTGCACGGCTGGCCCGGCCCTCGCCGGCGCGGCAAACCGCACAGCCTCCGGAGCTCCCCGCAGGAAGCAGACTCAGCTCCCAGCGCAACATCCCCGGTCCCACAGGGGCAGCGGGCGGTGAGATCGGTACCACGGGGAGCCCGAGCTGTGTCCGGCTGGGCTGCCCCCAAGCAGGGAGCCGGGAATGCCCACGGAGCCGGGGTTACACGTGCGTGACGGCAGCCGGGGTCTCCTCACCGGGGCCGGCATGCTCACACAGAGACACAGGGACTTCCTCTGTTCCTGCTGTCGAGCCTCCCGCGGCCCCGCGCTGTCCCGAGCACAGAGGCGGTTCTGTCAGGCACACATCTGCAGACCCACAAAGTAAGGGGGCTTTCCTCGAGAACCCTCAGCTGAGAACCCGCAGCTCCCCCCGGGGTTCTGGCACACGCATGGATGCAACGGGCAGGGTGAAGGGACGGGACGCCCTGTCCCGCCGGAACGGCACCGGCCGCGGCTGAGCTTGGCCAGGAGCACTCAGTGGTACCGGCCCCCGGCTCCCAGAGGCTCAGCTATCCAGTACTTATCCCGGTGCTCCGTTCTCCCCTGCCTCGTTTAGGAGATGTGGAGTTGTGCCTGGCTGCGTTCCTCGCTCGAGTCTCAAAATTAAACCAAAACACCTCAAAACAAAAAGATTTGCCTTGCAAATCAAGGGAGAATTAGAACGAAGCCACGGGGAGGTGGGGTTGCGTTAGTCTTGGTTTGGTTTTATTTCTGTGATGGTTTTGCGCGTGGGTGTTTTAATTGTATTTTGTTTTCGTTAAAAGCACTATATAAACCGAATATAACACCTCATCGAATTGTTCTCGGGGAAGAGGCAGGGATAATAATTATCCGGTGCAGCGTTCGTACACACACACGGCAAGAAACAACAAATCTTTGGTGTGATATTTGCGAGTAAAAGCCTACGAACAAAGATGGAATTATTGCTGCGGGTGCGATTTGGGAGGGTTCCTGCTCTGCTCTCCACGGCCCCGCCGCACAGCTCTGCTCTTCGCTTTTGGTTTTTTTTTTTTTTCCTTCTTTTTTAAATTAAGAAGTTACGAAAAATGCTGCAGAAAGAGGAGCTCTAATTTTCCTCGCAATTGTAGAAGATAATTTGAGGGAAGTCCCGTGTGATGGAGAACACGGAATCCGTCACGGAAAATAGGAAGGGAACATAAAAAATTAATGTGAACGAGAAGCTTTCCTCTCCACTGATTGAACTCTGAAATCTAAGCAGGTTTTATCTTGATCTTAGAATTGAATAATCATATATTATTTTTTCAGCATTAGCTACAAAGGTTTTCAGATTTGTACTGTCCAGAACAAAAACCAAATATGCTCCATTACCGAAACCCCTTTCCAAAATATTTAAGTAAAACAAGAATTTCTTTGAGAGATGTTTCTGTACGAAAAGGCTTTATCTTAAGACCCAGGGAAAAAAAGCATTAAGTAATTCAAGTTAACACTTGTCTCGCTTATTAAGTATCAATATTTTGGGAGCGTTACAAAACAAACTCCCTTCCCTCGGCGGGGTCACGGCATATCGCGGGTCACATTAAGAAACCCCGCGCGGAATCCCGCCCGGATTTTCATTTCCTCGGATTTAGATTTTTAACGGTATCGGCAGGAGAAAACCCCCAACAACAAAACCGAAAGGAACGGGAAGCCGGGGTCGCGCAACCGCGCTCCCCCCCATGCACGGCGGCCGGTGGGGATCGCCTTTCCCGGCCGTTGCGGTTCCGCACGGGGAGCGGGGAGCAGAGCGCAGTGCGTTACGGTGCGGTTCCTTCTGCACGCTGTCCGCGGACTCCCGCACCGCACGCACTAACATGCGATACCGCAGGCACGCAGCTTAGCGGTACCGCTCCCGGTAAACGCCGGTCCAGGAATGCCACGATCTCACCCGGGCTGCCGTCTCCGCGGGAGGTTTCCGCAGCTCTCGGGCCTCTGCGGGCAGGAGCGGGGCCCCCGGACGCTTCTCCGGGGCCACTCGTGGGCAGCTCCGCCACGACCGCCCGGGGCTGCCCGGCAACAATTCCCCCATCCCTGCAACCCATCCCGGGTTCCCTCCGGGACCGGTCGCGCAGCCACCGCCCGCGCGACAGACCCACGTCCCCGCCAGGCCCAGCCGCCCTGATGGACGGTCCCGTCACCACCTGCCCACGGCCCGGCGGGGAACGCGCGGTGCTACCTACCCCGACAGGGCAGGAGCCAGGAGCCGCCGTCGGGCCGGTAGCGGGGCGGGAAGCGGAGCGGCCGGGTCCCCGCTCCGCCGCGATCCTCGGCGGCCGCGCTCGCTCTGCCACCCGGCCCGCTCCGGTGCCGGTCCCAGCCCCGTTTGCCGCTCGCTGCGCCGGGGTGCGCGGAGCCCGCCAGCCCCGCGCCCCGGGCGCCGCTGCGCTTCGGGGGCCGCGGGGGCCCGGCGGGGCCAGGGCACTATTTGACGTCGAGGAGACGAATCACCGCGGCGCAGCGATACGGCGCGCACCAATGGAGTTCAAATGTCAGCAAGTTTGAGGAGGGGTGAGGCACCGGGGGGTGTGTTCCTCCGCCGCGGCCCCTGCTCTAAACGGCGCGGCTCCTCGGGACGCCGCATGGCACATGGGCTGCGGAGCGCCGGGGAAGCCCCGCCGCCCCGCCCGGCCCCGCCGCTCCGCCCGGCCCAGCCCCGGGAGGGCCCTCCGCGGAGGGCGTGGGGCTCCGGCGCTGCCGGCGAGCAGGTGACACCGCGGGCTGCCCTGCGCCGTGTGCGCGGCATGTGCGCGCCCGCTTAGCGCGGGCTGCCCCCATGGGCAGCGGCGCCGGCTCCTTCCTCTGCCCCCCGTCTCTGGAAGTGCAGGCAGGAAACGCTCCTCATGTCTCCCAGATAAAAATAAAAGCGACTCCCTCTTCCCGGCCGCAGAGTGCCCCCGCGATCGGCCAGACGCGGGGCTGAGCCGGCCCCGCCGCCCGGCAGCGCTTCTCGCCGCCGCCCGGAGCGCCTCTCCCCGCCGTCGCCCGCCCCATGGATATCGCAACAGGTCCCGAGTCCTTGGAAAGGTGCTTTACGCGGGGCCAGTCGGACTGCTCAAAGATGCTGGACGGTATTAAAATGGAAGACCACCCTCTGCGCTCGGGTCCGGCCACGTTAGGAGTGCTGCTGGGTGAGTTGCCGTTCGCTTCTCGTCTGCGCCTAAAGCGGCCCCGGAGCTTCGCGGGGCCCGGGGCCGGCTGCGGCGGGGCCCTGCCGGACTGATGCGGCCGCCTCGCCTCGGGCTGCAGCCGGGCACATAATCGTCTCACCGGCGTTTGTGGGGTGCGGGTTCGGCAGAGGCCGTCAGGCTCAGTGTCGCTGAGCTCCCGGGGCTGGGGCCGGGCTTCCGCTGCCCGCTGGCTGTCCCGGGGCCGGGAAGCGGGACCGGGGGAGTGGGGCCGGCGTCGGGACAGGGGATGGGGGCCGGGACAGGCGCTTCATGCCGCTGTCTGCCGTTCGCAGGGTCGGACTGCCAGCACCAGGCCGTCTGCGAGGGCTGCCAGCGGCCCATCTCGGACCGGTTTCTGATGCGGGTGAACGAGTCCTCCTGGCACGAGGAGTGCCTGCAGTGCGCGGCGTGTCAGCAAGCCCTCACCACCAGCTGCTACTTCCGGGACCGAAAGCTCTACTGCAAGCAGGACTACCAACAGTAAGAGCGCGGCGGGGCTCAGCGGGGCCCGGCGCGGTGCCGCCGCCGGCGGGGAGCACTGCCAGCCCGGCACGGCACGGCACGGCGTCGCGCCGCGGGCTCGGAGCGTGTTTCAGAGCGGGCCGCCGTCCCGAGCCTTGCGGAGCGGGGAATCACCGGCCCGGGCCCGAGGCTGCGGGTGGCGGCCCCGGCAAGCGGGGACCCAGGCAGCGGGCGGAACCGGAGAGACTTTGAGCCATTTCGCCCGTCCTAAGCAGGGAGCTGCCGCCTGTCCCCCGGGCTCTGCCGCTGTCCGGCACCCTGCGGCGCCGTCGGAGCGGTCCAGCAGCGGGGCGGCCCGTTTCGGCCCGGCTCAGCTCCACTCGGACAGCTCAGGCAGCGCCGCTCTCGGGACAGCCCCGCAGGGCCCTCCTTCCCGGGACGAACCCCGTCCCACCGCCGCCCGCAGCTCCGGGACATCCGTGGAGCGGAGCGGTCCGTGCCGGCTGCCCGGCGGCGGGGCCGTCTGTGCGCTGCCCCGGGCTATCCCGGCAGAGCCGCCCCGCCGAGCCGAGCCGCCGCCGGGCGCGGAGGGTGCGCGGGCGGCCGCGGGGCCCAGCCGCGGGGACTGGCGCCGGTCGAGGCTCCGCGGCCGGGCGCGGCAGGAGGAGCCCGGCGCTGGCCCCGGCCCGCCCGGCCCGGGCGCTTTCTGTGATTTAGGCTTTATCCCCAAATGTCAGGCTTTGTCGGGCGGCTGCCCCCCGCCGCGCCGCGTCCCTGCGCGGAGACAGAGCCCTGCCCGCGCCGCGCTTGTCCTCCCCTGCAGAAGCCCACTTCATGCTTGTCACCGAAATTGAGGATCCTTTTTGTGCCGGGAGGGGGGCGAACATGGGCACTTCAATCACTGGGACATAATATGGCTCTGCTAGAAGTCTGGCAACAAACAAAGAACAACAACTATTGGTTTGCATCAACTTTTGTCAGGCATTCAGCAGGCTTCCAGAAAGGCCTGAAGTGGCTTAGTGGCAACAATGTGCATTTCATAGCTACAGCATGAAAATCCATCTCCATGGAAACTGGTAGTAAATGCTAACATGACATGCTGGGTATAAATATTGTTAGGGTTATAACTCTTGTATAAACGGCCCAGATAAATGTCCCCCTGTTTAGGAATTACAACAAAATGTGTTATTTCATGCTGCAGCCCTCACCAGAGACTCTTCCATGGGCCCGGGTTCTTCACATGAGAAAAGCTCAAAGCTCGCTGCCGCAGCCACCCTCACTGGGCCAGGGCCTGGCGCTGGCTGGGTTTTCTCATACCCCAGTGCAGAGAGCAGATCCACAGACTTTATCTTTTACTTCTATACAAAATAAACCACCCCATGAGAGCTGTAGTTGTAAATCAATGAAACCTCTGCCTCTGTAGGTAGTACTACTTAGGTATTTTGGTTAATTCGTGAAGAGTTTAGAATAGTCTTTAGGCTACCTAAAAAAAGCATCATTTGGCTGTGTAGATATTTACATTAATTACACACCCATGTACCCTCTGAGTCCCATCTTTAGTTTCTGCGAAATAGAGGATTGTGCTTCGTGACTTTAAAAAGCAAGATTACAGGCTGCTCCTTTGTAAATGCAAAAACACTTTCCTGACTGAAAATAGAAATGTCACCGCTTCAGAACTTTCCGTGTTATCAAAGGTGTCCAATTGTATAGGGGGGGAATGGGGTAACCAGGCTGACGAGCAATAAAAAGATATCAACATGTTGGCCTTTGTTGAATCCCAGCACCTCGCGTGACATGACATGGTCACCTGCTGTGTGTGCCCCTCCGGACTGACAGCAGCAGCGGCTCGTGGAAAGGGGAGGGCAGCCACCGTAAATCCAAATTTGTTTTCCATGAAATTTTATTAGTCCAAAAAAGCAAGCACGTGAAACTGCGCTGATGCTGTTTGTGTGCTTCCCCTGCCTGCTGCCTTTTAGACCTGGAGAAATACCCTTTTCTGATAGCTGAAGGATAAAAATAGCTGCTCGTACATGGCAAGCGGTTCTGGGCTGTGCGGTGCAGGCAATCGGTTTGATCAGTAAGGGAGTGGAGGGAGGAGTGAAGCCATGAGCAAGTTGTGCAAGTCGTCTCCAATGTGCGGGAGCAACCATCGTCCTGGGCTGTAGCGTTCCGGGGTGGAAAATGCCTCTGCACTAAGAAAGCTTGATTTGGAGTAGTGAGATGAAATGGTATCAGTGCGGAGGAAGACCGGTATCAGCAAAATCTGATGCTTTTTGTTATCCTGAGTCCTATTTACTGACCTCGGGGGGGAAGGGGGGGGGGGGGAGAAAAAGGGGGAAAAAAAGAAAAAAGGGAGAATAAAGATTACTTAAATATCTTAGTTACTGAAATTTGCTTTAAATAGGTTTTTCTGTAAATAGTAATGTAATTTAAAGGTCAGATTTCTCCAGAACTCCCAGGACTATAATCAAGTGCTGTATGTGTATCTTTGGAAAACTGGTGTCTCGTCTTTCTAATGAAAGCAAGCTTCTGATGGGTCAGATATCAGACCTTAAACCTTTCACTGGGTCAGGAATGATTCCTGCCCATCCTTGGATGAGGGCATTTCACATTAGGGGGAAGGGGGAAAACATTTTTCTTTTTTTTCTTTTTTTTTTTTTTTTTATAAAAATGTTGCCTGTTTGAAGCTGCCCCTATGCTTGGAATGTTAGAACAAATCCCGGGGGAGATGGATTAGTGGCCCAGGCACAGTTTGAGGTAGTCAGAGGTGCCTGATAGGTGTAATTTATCACAAAATATCATCGGTACATCAGTGGGACTGGTGGGACAAGCTGTGCATGCGTTTTACACTGGGTTTATACAAAAGATTCAACAATTTTTTTGCATGAGCACATCCTGATCTTCTGATTTAATTCAATCAGAGCACTTCTTTTGCTAAAATGTAAGATTTTGAGGGTCACAGGTATGTTTGATTGCAAGCTTTTTGTAGGGGGGGGAAAACAGAGCAGTACAGTGGCACCAGGGAGGCTGGCTCTTGCAAACCCGAGTCAAACAGAATCTCTGTGATTTTAATGAGAGCTTTGTCAAATGGCAGGGGGAATGTTGCACACTTGGAACCTTACCCTTACACTTTTTTCCTTTAAAAGAAGTTTTCTTTCTGACAAACGGAAGCCTTCAGAAGGAATATTTATCAAAAACAAGGGGTTTGCGGTAGTTACGTTCTGCTTCTTTGCTTAAATGAATTTATTTATTGTGCCACTCGTAACAGTGCTTCCTGCTATAAAACATTAGTAATTATAAATATTACATTTCTTTCCCATTTGTATATTTTCATTTGTTTTGTGATTGTGCTTTCCTGGTTTGTTTTTATCTCACTATCCAGCACTATGTAACAATATACCCTAGTTATTGCTGACATTAAACAAAAAGATATGCTATGAAAAATAACCGTTTCAGGTTACATATTTCATATGTAAGAAATGCATATAATTTCTAGAAAGATCCATATTCCTATTCTAGCTTTGGAAAGAAAGGCTGTAGAAGAGGTCAGTTATTCAAGAGGTAGGAGAGCAAACAATCACAGTTGCTATTTCAGAATGTTACGTTAATGCATTCTAAGTTTTGCTTAGAGAAATAGTTTTTTGTTAGATTCTTCCAGATATGTCAGGCATTGTTTTAGCATCATTATTGGGTGCTGTTAAAAAAGCCTTGCTGTATATTTCTGGTACGTCTTTATACTGTTCTTCATCTGTAAGTCCTTTCTTGTCAGTGACTGGGCTTATTTTTTATGTGCAGTCAGCATGGAGCAGCATGTACCTCGCAGGAAGGAAAGAAAACGCTGTGAAGCCCCGTTGCTGTAGGGGAATGTTCCCCCTCTCCACACTTTGGAAGTTCTTTCATAGGAGTATAATACCGAGGCTGATGTTT